GGACAGCTTGCATAACTGGAATACTATCATAAATGGATAAACTGTTCAGGAAGGACAGACAAGGGAGAAAAGAAGGAGGACTTGTGCTTTATGTAAAAGAATTCTAACACTGCTCAGAGCTCCAGTATGAAACTGGAGAGAGGCCTGTTGAAAGTGCCTGAGTTAAGGTCAGAGGGTACAGCAACAAGGGTGATGTCGTGGTGGGTGTGCGCTATAGGCCACCAGACCAGGAGGATAAGGTGGATGAGGTTTTCTTCCAAACAGCTAGCAGAAGTCTTCTGAGAACCAGGGTCTGTAATCATCAGGGACTTCAATCACTGTGAGATCTGCTGGGAGGCCAATACAGCAGTGCACAGGCAATCCAGTAAGTTTCTGGACAGTGTTCGGGACAACTTCCTAACACAAGTGTTGAAGAGGCCAACTACGGAAAACATGCCCTTCTTGATCTACTGTTCACAACAGGAAAGAATTAGTGGGGAATGTAGAAGTGGATGACAACTTGGGCAGCTGCAACCACAAGATGACTGAGTTCGGAAACCTGAGGCATGGATGATCTTCCAAGGTCCCTTCGAGCCCTAATGTCTATGAAATCTATGACAGAGAGCAGCAGCAGGGGAAGGGTCCTGGACTTCAGAAAAGCAGATGTCCACTCACTCAGGAAACTCATGGGCAGTATCCTCTGGCAGGCCAGTCTGAGGGGGGAAAGGAGTCCAAGACCGCTGACTGTACTTTAAAGAAACCTTACTGAGGGCACAGGAATGAATCATCCCAATGCACAGGAAGACTAGCAAGTATGGTAGAAGACTAGCTTGGATTAGTAGGGAACTCTTCAGTGAGCTAAGACACAAAAAGGAAGCTTACAAGAAGTGGAAACTTAGAAGAACAACTAGGAAGGAGTGTAAGAGTATTAATCAGACATGCAGGGATGAAATCAGGAACGCCAAAACAGTTGGAGTTGCAGCTAGCAAGGGGCATGAAGGGTTTCTACAAGTATGTCAACAAGAGGAAGATCAGGGAAAGTGTGGGTCCCTTACTGAATGAGAGAGGTGACTTAGTGACAAATGAGGAGGAAAAGGTTGAAGTACTCAATGCCTTTTTTACCTTCGTCTTCACAGGCAAGGTCAGCTCCCAGACTACTGCACCTAGCAGCACAGTTTGGGGAAGAGGTGAGCAACCCACAGTAGTGAAAGACCAGGTTACAGACTGTTTAGAAGAGCTGGATATGTCCATGGCCAGACACAATGTACCCAAGGATGCTGAGGGAGTTGATCGATGCAATTGCAGAGCCATTATCTGGCCATTATCTTTGAAAACTCATGGCAACTGGGGGAGGTCTCAGATAACTGGAAAAGGATAAATATAGGACCCATCTTTAAGAAAGAGAAGGAGGAAAATCTGGGGAACTACAGACCAGTCAGCCTCACCTCATTCCCTGGAAAAATCATGGAGCAGGTCCTCAAAGAATCCATTTCTAACCATTTGAAGAGAAAAAGGTGATTGGTGAATCCATGTTGGCTGTTCCTAATCTGACCAACCTGATTGGCTTCTATGATGAGATGACTGATTCTGTGGATGCAGGGAGACCAGCAGACATGATCTACCTTGACTTTAGCAAGCCTTTTGCTAGTGTCCCACAACATTCTTACAAACAAACTAAGCATGTGGCCAAATGCAGAGCGGCAGTAGCCACCACGTGCAAGCTTCCCTCACCCCCTGCATCCAGCCGGGCAGCCGGAGCTTGCATAGCAACACGGGACGATGCATGGCAGCACTCTGTCCCCACCCACACATACCCCTAGGGCCTTCTCAAGTACCCCCAGGGGTATGTTTACCCCCAGCTGACAACCCCTAGAAGATGGGATGTGCACCTTCAGCAGGTTTGACACCAAGCTGGGGTGGAGTAGTAGATATGCTGGAGGGTAGGGCTAGGATTCAGAGAGACCTCAACAAATTGGAGGACTGCACAAAAAAATCTCATGAGGTTCAGTAAGGACAAATGCAAAATCCTGCACTTAGGATGGAACAATCCCATGATCTGGTATAGGTTGGGGACTACCTGACTAAGCAGCAGCTCTTCAGAAAAGGACCTGGTGTTACAAAATACTGTAAGCTGGATATTAGTCAACAGCACGCCCTTGCCGTGAAGAAGGCTAAAAGCATACTGGGCTGCATTAGGAGAAGCCCTGCCAGCAGATCAAAGGAAGTGATTCTTCCCCTTTATTTGGCACTGGTGAGGCCACATCTGAAGTTGCGTGTCCAGTTTTGGGTCCCACACTACAGAAAGGTTGTGGACAAATTGGAGAGAGTGCAGCGGAGGACAACAAAAATGGTTAAGGGGCTGGGGCACATGACTTATGAGAAAGGGCTGAGGGAACTAGGCTTATTTAGTCTGGAGAAAAGAAGACTGAAGGGGGAATTAACAGCACCCTTCAACTACCTAAAGGATGGTTCCAAAAAGGATGGAACTAGATTGTTCTCAGTGGTGACAGACGACAGAACAAGGAGCAATGGTCTCAAGTTGCAGCAAGGGAAGTTTAGGTTAAATATTAGAAAAAAATTGTCACTAGGAGGGTAGTAAAGCACTGGAAGAAGTTACCCAGAGAGGTTGTGGGTAGCCATTCTCCTTCTTTGGACATTTTTAAGACCTGGCTAGACAAAGCCTTGTCTGGGATGATATAGTTGGGGATGGTCTTGCTTTGAGCAGGGGGTTAAATCATCAATTTAGATGAACTCCCGAGGTCCCTTCCAGCCCTGATTTTCTATGATTCTGTCAGAGTTTGACAAGCTTTTGGGTATCAGAGTACCCCTCCTCAAGACCCTGAGAAAGAAATAGGCACTTTGGAGCTAAACAGCAGATGGAACAAAGGCTTGTGTAAAACTTCATATCTAAACAAAAACAGGAGAGAAGATAAATTATCAGGTAGCCAACAGACTACAAAGGTATAACAAAAACCTGATGACTGGAAAGCAGGATCGCCTTCAGGAGGGTCCTTTTAACCTCTGAAGTGAAGAGATTAGCAAGTATCAGGTTGATTATAATGGACCATAAAGTTACTGTAGATGATAAGTATCCAATAAGCTAATGAATTTTTTTTCTAGGCTTGTCTCTTGAAATTATTTTGTAAATTTCCCTTAAGCACAAGGAGAAAGGGAGTGATTATTCTGTGAAACATGGTCTACCTATGTTCTAGTGTGTCTGTTAGTATAGGAGTTAATGAGAGTTAGTGGAGGGGTAGCTAACACAGGAGTTAGTGTGAAGTAACACATCCTAGTGTATTTGGTGGTAACATAGCTGGGTACCCAAGCCAAATGAAGGAGGGGGGGGAAATCAAATAGATCTAGAGAAGATGATAAATGTATTTTTATGCAGCAAGGAAGCTATCAAAAACAAAAGTAATCCAAGACACACAGGTATTCTTTCTTTCTTTAAACATTTTAATAAATATTAAACACTCTCTGGTTTCCATGTCTACTTTACAAGCCATAACTGGAGGAACACTCAAAAGTAAATATTCCAAACTCATTACAGGTTTCAATATAATCAACATAAAGTCCATTTCCTTTGCATGGATAAAAACACTCATTTAAACTATTAAAATTAAATAAGTTAAAATATTAAAATTGTATTTGGAATGTCAGAAAGCAGGTCTGATATTTATACAGTCAAAGTATTTTATAACTTATAATTTGTATTCTAGAAGGGTGAAAATATTTTCACTGTGTTTTTTGTCCAATCTTCCTCACTAGAACCGAAAGAAAATATCTTCAATTCAATGTAATAGTTACCCTGTACAGCTTTCAAAGTATATAGATATTGGCTGTATTAGCATCTCTCTCCAATATTCAGACTTCAGAAAGACATCATTGTGTTTTCTTCTTTGAACAATAATACCTTAGAAGTAGACCATGAAAACCAGACCACCCTAGTTTGCAAATGTTTGTTTTTTCTATCCAAGTGTTCCACAAACCACTGAATACATTAAATAGTATCTTCCTTAAGGACAATGTTGACTGACTCTTGCAATAGGAGTGGTTTCTCTCTCTTTCAACCACGAGGAAGTTCAAAGCTAAAATCAGGCAGCCCTAGTATAATAAAATAGTAGCATGCAGCCAGGCAACCAGAGACAGCCCTTTAATTATAAATAATTACAATATAACCTATCTCTGTATTAAAGAAATGATACATGAAGTTAAAAAGTCAGGTCACTTAAATCTCTTTATTGCTAAGAGAACCATGCAGACATTAACTGATCAACAGGGAGCTTTGTAAAAAGATCTGAGAAGTAGTTGGCTGTTAGCCTGATGTGAGGCAGAAGCCAGGGCAGGGTGGCACCTTAGAGATATTAACTGATTCAGAGGGGCATAAATTTTCATAGGCAACAGAATACTTTGTTAGATGCTATCACCTAATAAAGTTTATGCCTCTGATCTTGTAATCTGATAATGAGGGCTACAACTAAAAGAAGGTAGGAGTTCATCCAGAGGCAAACAAAATCCAGCAGCAAGACAACGCATTTGCTGATTCCACTGGCTTTTCCTACTGTAGCTCTTGGCATTAAATCCCCACCTGACACACACAGAGGTACTGAATGCTCCAGACAGAAGTCATCATTTTCTGAGACTTGCTATGATAAGGAAACAAAAATGCAACTGAGTCTCCATTTATTTAAAGTAGGAAAAAACATCAGTTATTCAGAAAAAGGGCCATGAGACCAAGTCTTGAAGTACATTCTCGAATATAGATTAAAAAATATATATATCGGCAAGTGCTCACCCACATTTGAAAGAAACAGTATTGACAAATTCTCCTCCCATAGATTTTTGCCACACACAGACTGCAGGATTGTCCTTTCAAGCCTCAAGCCCTCATTTTGAGGAGAAAAACTCAAACTCTGACTGTCCCCTGGAGACAGCTACATTCTTTACTCAAGCAAAATTCCCAATAAGTAAGGGTTGCAGAACGTGGTCTGCTGAATTTATGCAATAAACTTACTACTTACCTTTCCAGGCTCCCATAATAGCTTTGCTCCTTCCTCAAGGTCAAATATCTGGCAGGTCTTCAACTCATCTTTTCAGAAGCATGAATAGGCTCTGCAAAGCAGAACAATACCTGCATACCTCACTCTTAAATTCATTCTTATTTTAACAACCTCTCTTGACATAACCAGCTCCCAACCTCTGCATTTCCAGCTTACATTTTTAAGCAACTTCTCCGATTATACATATGATCTAACTGCAGGAAATGTATAAATATTAACATAATAAATGTAAATAAGACTAGAAAGAGATTATAAGTACCTAAAGACTACCTATTTGTGATCTATCACAGTTGTTCACAGGTTACAAGACTATTTAAATGTAAAAAAATAATGGCTTCTCTATAGAATACATGATGGGGAAGAAAAAAAAACACAGGCAAATAACTTAAAATGTTTGAACTAATTTTTACATAAAAAAAAGACTCCAATCTATCCTCTTTTCCTGTAACCTCCAACATGAATGTCACTGTTTTCCTGGGAGGACAAGGACTTTTAATCTCGTGCACTGATGAGATACAAGTTGTACTTAAAATTACTTTTTGAAACTAAATGATTTATTTTAAAAGTTTATTATGCGATTCTGCTTCAAAAAGGCAGACTATGCGAAAACGGGACTAATTAACAATTCTTCTCCTTAGACTTTCCTACTCCTTTTAGGTTTACAAAATCAAAAAGAGCTGTATGAGTGAGCTGGATTTTTTTAGTTTGTGCATCATTTACAGATTTGTGAAGCAAGGCCCCAATTTCTTAGCCCCATTAAAGAGCCTTTAGTAATGAGTAATAAATCTGAGTCCCTTTTCCCCCAATTATAAATATTATCTAAAGATGTAACTTTAGATTACCCAGCTCCAAACAGACAGACAGGTTTTTCACCATACATTCAAGTTGGGTAGTAGAAAGCATATGCACTTCTGCTAACATTGTTTTCTTAGTTTCCTATTCCCCAGTGGCCATGCTGCAAGACAAGAGATTGCATGGGTGGTAAAAGGCAAACAATTTAATTATCACGAGTCAGACTAATGCATCTTATTTCCAAATGGATGAAGACTAGCATCCAGATGGCATAGATTAGATTTGTAAACTGCGCGCACCCACGACTGGAATCCATGACCGGCATAAGTTCTTCTTCATTAAAAAAAGGGAGAGAAAGGGTTCATTCAGCTTTTAAGGCCAGCAGGAACAGGAAGCAAAACCAGCTCAGATTTGTAAGGGATGAACAGGAGGAAAATCCGACCAAAGAAAAGCGCTGACTGGCAAATTCAGGATTTTTTTTGGTGCTCAAAAGGGCCTGGCCCACAAAATGACATTTGAAGAGGATGAGGGGCGGACTTCTGCAGGCATTCACCCCCCCCTTCCTAAATTCGTACTAAAGATGCATAAAACAAGCCCCTGCAGTACTCTTAGCAGGGCATGTTGCTGGGGGTGAGGAAGCCAGCGGATCCCACTGATGGAGCTGAGAATGCGTCTGTGTGATCCTGAAAGCGTTTCTATGGACCCATGAAACTGTACTGCCCTTGGTCACCAAGCACTGACGGAGGCCACCAAGCCCTTCTCCCAGCACCATACCTAGGCTCCTGGCAGCCCTGGGCAAACGTTTAGTATAAGGCCTCCAGTTGCCAGAGATAATGATAATAATAATCAGACAATGGGGAAAAAATTAACAATTTCAGGCCACCTTTCTGCCCAGCTCTGGGCACCCACCCCGTTTGTTCGTGCCTGTCTCCAGCCTTGCCCTCTCCCCATGTCACCGAAACTCCCCTCGACCCGCTGCCAGGAGGGACTCGAGGCCCCGAGCAGAGCAGAGCAGAGCACGGCCCGGCCAGGAGGGACCGCTGGGCCTTCACCAAGCGGCGCAGGGGCAGGGGCAGGGGCAGGGGCAGGGGCAGGGGCAGGACAGAACAGCGGCCCCCACTGGGCTCGGTGGCTGCAGACCAGTGGCCGACGTCACTGCTCCCAGCGCAGCGCGGGATAAGGTCCGTACGAGCAAGCACAGCCCGGGCCCAGCCCCCCGACACGTGGCGACCGCTGCTCACTTGTGTGGCGCCGCTCGCCCGCCCGCGGAGGAGGGAGCACCAAGCCACCAGGCCCTACCCCGCGAGGAAACGCCTGCAGAAGTGTGAGCCGCTCCAGCCGCCGTCGTTTCCGCGTAACCCGTCACCGCCGCCAGCTGGGCCGCGCCCGGGCCCCGCGCCCCATGCATGGTGTCCTCCCTGGACGCCGCCGCGCTCCTCCTCCTCCTGCTGCTGCTCCTGCTTCGGCTCACCAGACAGACCGCCGCGGGCCGGCGCAGGCGGCTCACAACCCCCGTCAGCCTCCTGGTCGTGGCCGGCTCTGGTGAGTGGCAGAGGGACGCGGGCACCGAGCGGCCGTGGTGCCGAGAACTACAACTCCCATGGTGCAGCGCGCCCCGGAGCACACTGGGAAATGTGGGCAAGAGGGGAGCAGGTGCCTGCTACAGGGCAGCGCCTCGTCGCGGTGCATGCTAGGGCGGCCCAGGTCCTATTGCAGCGCAGCAGCGTTGCCAGGGGGACGCTGTGCCGTCTCTTCAACCCGTGTGAGATGCACCATCAATAGTAGTGACATCGTCCAAAATATACCGGGCTGCAGATGGTAGTGCTAGGTAAGGACACAGGCAATGAAGGTCCTCTGGGGAAATGCGAGTGATCTCTTTTATTAGACCAATTAACTAGTTGGGAAAATTGTTCTGACCCTAGACTGGTGACTGCCTCATGAAGAGTGTTTGTACCCGGAAGCTGGAAGAAAACAAATTTTGCAGCTAGTTAGTTTGTCTGATAAAAGAGATTGCATTTATCCAAAGAACCTCGCCTGCCAAATGTATGATAATTTTGGAGGCAGCTAATTGATGCAGCGTATGTAAAACCCAAGTCACTCTCAGGGAGTCTTAACTAACTTTTGGGATTGCTGTTTACTTTCTTATGACTGCTTGCCTCAAAATAAAAAAAATGCTTCAACTTTGGTGACCCAGGTCTCACTCACTCACTGGTGTCTTGCAGTGAGCAATATATGGGCAGTCCTCAACTTACGACTTTTCGAGTTATGACAAACGGCACTTGTGCCCTTTAGAAATTAA